ATAGTCGCCTATGATCATTATAATCCTCATACGTCATTATCATCGTGGCTGTCATGATTATTATAGACGACATCATCATTATTATTATCATCATAAATATAATTATCATTATTATTGCCATCATCACCATTATAATTATCATAATCTTTTTATTTCCATCCGATATCCTAGTAATTAACCAACATCGTAGCGTGACAAGGCACGTTCTCATAGCCTTGACAGTCGACCCGACACTCCCCAGACTCGACGACTATCGAGGTAGAAACGCGAACTTAAATAACTGGACAATTTTGAGTCTTGACGATGTATATAAAGTCAATCATGAAACACGTAGGGAATGTATGCATATTCACATGCATATTCACAATTCATTCAATCGAAAGTATACAAATTTCTACACTACGCGTTTTTCGATTGCCTTATTGATATTTGCAATTTGCAATTGCTAATCAGTGACGAGCGTTTCTACATTAAAAGAGCGATCGTACGAATATAAAGGAGAAAAGAAGATGCAGGATAAAAAAATAATACGTTGCTCTTAGTTTGCTCACTATTTGTAGTTGAGCATCTTCAAGGTTACCGATTATCTTATATTCCTTTTTTCTATTTTTTCCGCATGAGAACTTCAGTTGCAAACAATGCAAGGAAAATATTAATAATATTGTTAGTTATAATAATATGTGACGTCATATGGAAATAGAATATAAGCTTGTGAAAATTATTAAATGTTTTTGTACATGCTTACATATACATATTTGCGTCCATAATTATGCATTAATAATGCAGTTAATAATGTTTTAGCATAAATTCTAAAGGATTGTAGACAAAATATTAGAATATAGAACGGAAGATGTGTAAAATCGCAAATTGTCATATTGTATAATAGCGCCGCGATAAGAAACACGTAATGTATACCGGAAATTTCGGAAAAGAAGAGCGCATCATACAAAAGTGAAGAGGTGTATAGTATAGTTTGCTTATAGCATTCCTAGTATCTTCACGAGGTATCACCAAAAAAAAATTGTCTTTAACGCTTTTGAATTCAATGCAAATTAAGTACATGAATAATTCCGCAAAAACCGATTTCTCCCAACGGAACAATAGATTGTGCATATGACATCTATTTTGTTTTAAAGATTAATTTTTTTAGTGAATTATAAAATATTATTAGCTAGAAAAATAAATTTATATCATATAAATTCATATAAAATTAAATTTACAGGGAAACAAGGTAAAGATGGGCCAGAGGAGAAGAAGGATGCCGACGGCGAACTTTGGGGCAACGTGGAAGCGCAAGCTGCTTTTCTCGGGCCCAATCTCTGGGACAAAACTTTGCCTTACGATGCCGACCTGAAGGTATTAAACCATGTATGTATAAAGGCGCGATACGGTAAGCCTACAATTTGGCTGAATTTAATCCCAAAATTCCATAAAATAAAATCAGGAATTCAAACTGATCGTGTTTCGTCCGTCTTTTGTCTTTTGTGCATTACTTTTTCGTTGAACTCTTTATGTGTGATTTTCTATCCACTATACTGATCGATAACGCAAATTGTTATTCTTCTTAATATCTTAAACTTTTTATTTGTACGGATCTTTCCTTTTTGAAAATCGTTGATTTTGGAAATGTGCTCCGCAAAAGCTGATGTTATCCCGAAAAGCGCATCCCTAAACACGCATGCCATGTAATAAATTGAATGAAAAATCAATGTAGCGGACCATTGCATCGCTCCGTTGTAACACTTACTCCGTTATAATTCGCCTTCCTGGGTCGAGAAACCGGGAAGCCGAATATTAAGCCGCTATGCAATCGCGACGACAGCGGTCGCTTTCTCCGTTATGCCTCGGCGGAATCGAGGAAGTTTCGGCTATTCTTTTCTATAATCATTTTTAGCTAAGCTATCTAACTTGCCGAAAAAGTGTTATTCTTTTAGATAATATTTTACAAAATAACACAACTTATCTATCTCTAAAGAAAGTAACATTCAATTTGCATATAATATTATATAAACAATTTATCGTCTCAATTTATATGTATAATTGTTATATATGGATATATATCTGGTAAACTCAACGACTAAAATATTTGTGTGCGATATGAATAAAATGTATAAATAATGTACAATTTTTTGAAAAGCGTGTAAAACTCTTTATAAACCTTTCGCCAACTTTCACCAGTTGCATTCCTTCCATCGCGATACGCCGCTTGAATCTCGATAAAGAAACAGGGCAAAATTACAAAGTGCAAAATGAAGTGGAAATGAAAAGATGCGAAAGCAACATCTATTTCTTCGTTGCCTCCTCAAAAGTTTCTGCTTGGTAATGGTTTTATATGCCTTTTCAAAATTAAGAGTACAATATATATCAAATATACCTTTCACGCTCGAATTAATTTTACGGCAGCTTTACAGGATTTATCTTTGGAATATCACATCTAGGCAAAAAATTAATCGATTGCGTACTCCAACGAATAAAGTTAAAGTCTCAGTTCTCTCTAGGCTAACATAAAAGACATCTTTGTTCATTTCTATAATATTTACACTTTTACATAATCGCATTTACAATCGCATTATTATTTATGGATGAATTAGTCATCCGCCTGATATGCCTAGATAGGTTTCGCTTGAACTTGACAAAAGCTCCGAGGAATCATCTCTCGGGAAATGACATCTCGGATCTCTGTTGATAGTACGTCGATCTCGATGAGTTTCTTTCCGAAAACGGCATCCCCGTCGACGGTGTGGCTGGTGGCGGACAGGGTGCCATGCAAGGTAGCCAGCTTCATAAAATCAACAACACCGAGGCCGCCGGGCATCAGGGACCAGCGGGTCTACATTTGGAACCAGTTACCAAGCGCGAGAGATCACCCTCGCCGAGCGAGTGCTGTTCGCCGGACACCCTGAACCCACCCTCTCCCGCGGACTCCAGTGAGTAAAACGCAATCTTCTCGCTCTCTCACTTTTATTCCTCGTCGTAGCCGTCGTTCGCGATATCGAGATCCTGAGAAGTGTTCCACGCGATTTCATACGCGAAAAGATCAAAATCCCCGCCTGTTCAATTTTTTTTCTTTTAGAAATCTTTCGAGTAGATAGACAGTCGATAATGTACATATAAATATACATATACAATCTTCGAAAATTTCGTACAAATCTTCGTGATACTCTGTACTTACAACGCAAAATAAAATATCGGTGGTGTTGAGGAAGATGAAGTACAAAGGCATGTAGAGAGTAAGAAAAGAAATGTAATAGAGAAAGTCATAAATGGAAAGTTCTACTGAAAGTAAGCGAGCTAAA